AGAACTGTCCTATTCTCCTTCAACATGACTAACGTGCTTATAACAACCCACAGCATGCTGTGTTTATACCAGGGCTTTCAAAGTTCTGTGCACCCTTGAGGTCAGGAAAAAAGGTTTAGTCAATCTCAGGAGATGGGTTCAACCTTGTAACAGGTCAAACCCTCTTCTACCCAAAGAGGAGAAGCTTCTGATCTTTTTACCATCCCCTATCAATACATGATGCAATGAATGCCAAATCCATACCCCACACAAATCTTGCTACTCTGATGAAAAGAGAATGAATAATCTTCCTTCCTCTCCCCAGCCTTCTTTTCCCCTCCCAAGTGCAGTCAGGGAAACCCCTTTGATTTTCTCAGACGTGCCTGACATCTGAGAGGTTTGGCATGATAGCAAAGGGAAAGGTACTAAACAATGGCCCACCTCTGCTACACCAAATCATTAAACATTATAATTATTCAGCGCCAGTGTTAGTCAGGCTCAGAAAACTCAGCTTACAGTGGTCTGCCCTGGCATATTTCCAGAAGGTACTTACCTCTTTTGGAAGTTACATGAAAAGGGTAAAAATTAAGTAAGACAATTATTATCCTGTTTTCGATCCCTCTTCTACACTAGAAGCAAACTATCAACATGCAAATAATGTTTCATGCCTCCATTTCTGCATTTTAGTTGTTGCCAATTCATCGTTAACTCAGTTTCCGAGTTAACGATGCCAGGTTGTGTTCTGTACATAGAGTCTCTGTCACGTGTGGGAACCCACTCAAGTCTGCTTTCATTAAGAAGACACTGAACTGCAGAATCTCAAACAATGCAAGAGATTAGAGGAGAGGCTGAGGGTGGCCTGGTGTGGTCAAGAAAGAACACCCAGAAGAAGTGAGGCTTGGCCTGGCAAGAGGAATTCCAGGCCAAGGGTGGGAGCAAAAAGAAAAGAATTCCAAACACACACAGTTCTGTACCCAAAGGTCTTGATAGGGATTCTGAACCTGGCCTTTCCAACTGATGGTCATGAGAGTTTAAGGACATAAAAATAACAAATCTATGAGAAAAAAAGTTTTTCTCAGAATAAAATCCATTAGGATGATTTTAGAAGCCCAACAATGTTACTGGTAGGAAATCTGGGAAGTGGAGGATTTCGGGAGAAGACAGGATAAAGAACTGTCCGTTTTCTTCCATAGAAAGCAAATTCTGAACAGACTTGGCAGTCGGCAAACCTAAATTCCAATCTACACTCAGTTCAGAATCTGGGACTCCAGACAAATTTCTTAACTTCTAAGCCCTAGTTTCCTCATTTTTAGAATGAAGATAACAATACGTAAGTCATCAGATTAAGGAACACATGTAAATCACCTAGTTTAGTAGCTGATATACAGATGTTCAATAAGTGGTGACTGTTATTATAATGACATAAAAAAAGCATGAAAAATTGCCCAGTTAGAGATAAGTGAGGGACTACTATATTGCAGTATCTTTGGGGGAAGTTCAAGAGTCTAATTGGTTTTCTACTTCAATATGCTGCATTTTAATTCTGATAGATGCCTGGGCTATAAAAATAAAAGTGGCATGGTAGGTGTCTGGCTCACTTGCAAACAGCAGGACAGTCCTTGTAGTGCTGCTTTTCTAATGAGCACACTGCACCTTCATAATTGAATGGAAAGATTTACCTTCTTCAGTCTAGGACAATGACAAAAATTGTTGATTATTTGCTTGGAATTAATCCACTCCATATTCTGCCTATAGAGTTTGAAATTTAGGCTGGCAAAGAATTTATTCAACCGACTTTTTGTGAATGTTCTTATACTAGACACTATGACAGGTATTTTCAGGGTCTCTTAATCCAGGAGCAAAAGGAAAACTTCAGTCTGGCATGTCCTAGAGGCTTTATTTGCACAATTGCAATGAATCCTCACAGGTCTATAAGAAAGACTCCATCCCCTTTTCTAAGGAAAAGGAAAGAGAATTAAGTTTTTTTCATCCTTTCACTCATTCTTTCATTTATTCATGTTTTCAAATCAAACATCCTTTGGGCACTTGTAAGGTATTAACACCTAAAGCAGGTGTCATTGAAATAATACAAACTACCAAGGGGTAAGATTAATTCTGAATGCAAACTTTGGGAAGACTTCTATAAGGGAGTTAATCAGCGGGGCTAGGCTATGTACAAAAGAATTAGGAACAGGACAGGGATGCTCAGCAAGCATGGGGTTCAACCTGACAATCGCAGAGGGAGAAGAATGCTGCATCTTCTAAGATTGGGGAGCGATTTGCTTCAAGGACGGGTAGGTAAATTAAGGTGGTGCAGGTCCAATGAAGAACAGAGGTAGGTAGGCATTGACTTGCAAAGAAGTTTAAATGTCAAAGTAAAGACTTACTTCTGTTGATTATATTAACTCTACATAATGTGTGGTACTAAGAATCCTGTTAAGGGGCAGGTCAAATATACAAAAGAAAAAAGAAGTAGGATCTTAGATACAAAGAAAAGCCCATATGATACTGACATAGGTTCAAGCTCCAGACCTCTCATTGGCACTGTAGCTATTTTTTTTCTTTCTACCTAAGCAGACAAGCTCCTTCTTGCCTTAGTTTATCATCCTTGCAGCCGACCTTTACCCTTTCTCCTTCTCTTCACAGGACACTAGTAATTAGGAAAAAATGTAGATTCTGAGGAAATTCAAAGGGTTTTGGTGAGGGAGGGAGAGGAAATGTGACGCAACTCCATGAGCCTTAGTCATGCTGCCGATGTGAGGTCACCATTTACCACTTCAATCCAGCCGCATCAGCTGCTGCTTCTGTCTGACTAGCATCCATTTACCCCTCTATCCCAGTAGTTCTGAAAGGCCATCTATGTGCTCCTTTGTGTAATGTAAAGGGCAGTCTGACTTCACATTTATGATCTTGGTTCAGTCGGATACCATCTTAGTCTCTGTTGGGCCTGGCTGAACTTCTGACATCAACTTTCCCTCAACAACAACCCCCAAAACACACACACACACACACACACACACACACACACACACACACACACACGGCCAATATGTTCTAACTAGAAATCATCGGAATTCACAGAGCCGTTTTCCTTCACTTCATTATCCTCTAGACAACTGGGTTTTTTTCTCCATTCCATTCTTTATCTTGGCTCAAATGACTCATCTCTCCTAAAGAAGCCAGGGACTGGTCATGTATGTTAGGCTCAGGGCTCTCTCCACGCCCTACAGCATCATTCTTCCCACGGTGAACCTTGCATACTCCCACCTGGCCATATGAGTGGCATTCTTAAAGGTTCATTTGGCTCTTAAAATGTATTCCCGGCCGGGCGCGGTGGCTCACGCCTGTAATCCCAAGCACTTTGGGAGGCCGAGGCGGGTGGATCACGAGGTCAAGAGATCGAGACCATCCTGGTCAACGTGGTGAAACCCCGTCTCCACTAAAACTACAAAAAATTAGCTGGGCATAGTGGCGCGTGCCTGTAATCCCAGCTACTGAGGAGGCTGAGGCAGGAGAATTGCCTGAACCCAGGAGGCGGAGGTTGCGGTGAGCCGAGATCACGCCATTGTACTCCAGCCTGGGTAACAAGAGCGAAACTCCGTCTCAAAAAAAAAAAAATGTATTCCCCATTAAGTAATATCCATATGCTGGCTTGCTGAGAGAAGAAGGTAAACAGCTGGAGACATCAACAAAAAATCAGGTGAGGGGAGAAAGGAGAGACAGTGAGTGGCCCCTTAGGTGAGCCGAGTTCAGTTAAAACAGTTACTCTTGGGCTGTGTTCAAAGTTGCCCACGCATCCACCGCAGCTGCTCAAAGACAATTAACTTGTAGCCATTATCCAGCCGCATTTACCAGGCGCTCAGTCTTGTGGGAGGAGGGTAAGGCAGTAGGGTATGTGGAATACTGGTGTCATCCTACAGGTTAAGGACAAATATGCCCGCTACAAGGGCAGGGATACATCACCCACTTCAATTCGGCCCAGGGTTCATGTAGCAAGGGGTGAGTGAGTCACTCCTGTGGGGGAGGCTGTTGGGGGGTGGGGGTGGCGGCTGGTGGTTAGGAAAAAGGAAAATCGTGGAAAGTCCCAGAGGAAGTGGTAATCGATTCCCGATGTGTGGCCATAATGTACACTGGCCATAAGGTATACTCAGCGCCTCTGCGTCGCTGCTCCCCCTCAACCTTTTACTCACCCTCTGCTCCCAACTTGCGCCTCACCCGTGCTTGCAGGGCATCTTCGCGAGGTGCAGGTCCAGCTCTGCCCACCACCCCTCCACCTGCCGACACGGACGCTTGTGGTTGGAAGGCCTCCCGGGGCTAGACCGCGACCCCTCCTGGGCTGCGAGCCGCTGCGCCTCCCTCCACCCACCCGTCCTTATTGTGTCATTTGCCCGGTCTGATGGCAGCCCCAAGCCGCTCCTCTGAGTGGGCTCGAATGGAGAAGAGAAGGGAGGCACTCACTGCATTCACTGGGACCCAAGATGACCTGCCGCCTCTCTCCTGCCCCTCCTCGGAGCCCCCCACTCTCCCTCAGCCCCACGGGGGCTGGGGGCACGGACAGTCAAGGCAAGAAGGGCGCAGTCCGTCAACGTCCACAGCTGCACACAAAGCCCTTCACCTTCTCCTCGCCTTCCAAGCTCCTCCCTGGGCTTCGCTTTTCCGAGGGTCTCTGATGCCCCCTTCGGTGGTCGGCGGGACGCTCCGATTCCCTCTCGCATCGCTGTCTCCTCCCTCACGTCTCAGCCTCCTACTCCCCGCCCCTCGCCACACACCCCTGAGGGAGCTCAGCCCCGGCTCAGGGGGCGCGAGAGCACCCCACGAGCCCCGGCCCCTGCGCCCCAGGGGAGCGGACAACTGTCCGTTTTACGAGGTACAACTTCGCCCAGCCGTTCCGCCACCGCACTCGAACACACACCCCGACCCCGCAGCGGTCGGGTCTGGTCCCGACCAGCCCCATCCCCGGGAGGCGGGCGAGCCCGGCCACAGCCACGCTCCTACCTGCGCGGCGGCCGGCGCGGCGGGGAGCGAGCGCACCGCGCGCCCCGGCCGGAGCCCCGCACCGCGGCGCGTCTACCCTTGTGCGGTGGCGGCTGCAGCGGCGCTGGCTGGCTGGCCGCCCGGCTGACTCCTCACTGGGGCTTCCTGTAGGGCTGGACAAAGGACATTTCCTGGGAGGAGCGGAGAGCGTTCCCAGCATGCCTCGATTTGTAGTTCCCGGGGACTTCCTGCCACTGCGGCGGCGGGCGGCCCTGAGGTGGCTCGGCCAGGCTGGGACCCCGGGACTGGGGGAAACGCGCTGGCGGCTTCCCTAAGCGCCGTGGGGACGCGAGCGGCCGGCGGGTCCTGCCCCCGCCGCGCCCGCCCTGCGGCGCTCTCGAAGCCCGCCACTCCTGAGGACGCGAGAGCCCCGCTCCGCACTCCGCGCTCGCGGCACGGGTTGCGGGCGGCCGGTGGGACGCCGCCGCCGAGCTGTCCCAGGGTGCCGGAGGGCTCTGCGGTGGGAGAGGCCTTTTCTCTAACAATCGGGGAGTTTGTGACGGGTTCCCTTTTTAAAAAATTAATCTAAAAAGGTAAAATCTATATTTTAAAATAAATTTTCTTTTTGTCTTTGAAGCCATTGACATCCTGCTTGGGCGGATTAAAGAACTTGACTGCCCACCAGGAATTCAGGTTCCTTAAGATCTTGGCGCTTCGTCCTTAAAACCATACAGAGCTGATTGTTTCCAGATCCCGACCCGGTGACATTCGTCCCTCCATTGTTGGCCTGGTCCCAAGCATCTTTTCAAGACAAGCAATTAAATTGAGATTGAAAATAAATTCCGTAAATTAAATATTAGACGTGAAAACCAGTGTGCTGCTGAGCTAGGATCGCGCTGGACTTTTTCTATATTTCCTTCCTTCACCTTTAGGATTCAGCCTCGTTGGTCCTATAAAACAGATGTGACGGCCACTGTATATTGAGTGTGTGTATTTTGGGAAGTGGAAGGGTGAGGGGAAGGGAACATTGGCTACAAGAGAGGAACTCCATTTCCAGTCTAGCAGGAGTCTATGATGTCCTGCACACGTTTGTCTATTTCTGCGACCACATACTCAGGACCCTTAGAAAATCAAGGAAAGACCACACAGAGTCTAAATGACTAAAAGCTGTATTCTCTTCAGGAGCATGAGCAGACTGTAATAAACTGAGCTAGGAAAGGACAAGTTCTAGGATGCTCTACAATGTGTTTGAAAAGTAATCAGAAAAGTATCTGGGCTTGGTGGCTCACGCCTGTAATCCCAGCACTTTGGGAAGCTGCGATGGGAGGGTCTCTTGAGTCCAGGAATTCAAGACCAGCCTGGGCAACATAGTGAGATCCTGTTTCTACAATAATAATAATAATAATAATAATAATGGCGGGTTTGGTGGCATATACCTGTAGTCCTAGCTACTCGGGAGTTTAAGCAGAAGGATCATTTGAGACTGGGAGTGTGAGGCTGCAGTGAGCAGTGATAGTACCACTGCACTTGACAGATTGAGACTCTGTCTCAAAAAAAAAAAAAAAAAGTCATAATTACCTGTCATCTCTACTTGCCATTTTGCGTTTTAAATCCATATGAATTACAACATTTGGGTGGGAGGTTTAGCTTACATTTAAGTAAAGTTTATCCACTAGAATACTAGAGTTCTCTTTCTCTAGAGATCCTTAACCACAGGGGTAATATGGGCTGGAATAAAATGTAGAATTGATGAGAAACATGCAGATAGGACCGTCCACCTCCCAAAAGTTCCTGTTGTATGCCCACCGTAAAGGTAGTATTGTATGCCTGCTCTGTTCACTGTCACCTAAATTAATTTTGCTGTGATCCTTGCATTTTCTGGACCCTACAAATTTCTGCTCCTTCACATTCTCAGACTGGTAATGTTCCAGCAAAACTACTCTCCCAATCTCCTCCCCAAAGAATTGATTATTGTTTGGCAAACTAAGTAGCCTCTAATAGTGTTCAATTTGAAAAACATGATATACTTGCTTGTAGCATTTAACATGTAGCATTGCCTACTATGGCCCCATTGAAGCTATTTTTCACCTTGCTTTTAATACAATACACTCTCCTCCTTCTCCTACACTTCTAACTTAAGCTCAGGATAGTTAGAATTTCACTCATCCCACCCCATTCCAAACCTGTCCCTTCTTTTTGTTTCCAATTCCAGTCACTTCGTTATTTCAACGAGTTTTATTTAACACATGTTTTATTTAACACATTGTTATTCATGCTAGTCTTCATGCCTGGAGTAGACATATGACATTCAGCAGTAAGATAGTTTACTGAGTAACTAACTACCAGCTATGTCTTACCCCCAAGAAGCCCACACTCCAGTTGAAAAGCCAGACGTCACACAATTACTCCACAGTGTTTAGGGGCTATAATGTTGTCTTGAACTGGGGTTCGTGTTCTCTAAAAATGGTGCTCTTTCCATAAGGTTTCTGTTCTGGTGAGTGGTGGGGGGGGGGGGCAGGAGCGGCCAGAGGAAAGCTAGGGAGGGAGGAAATACAAACGGTAAAGAAGACAAGTCGAGTGTGAAATTTGGTTGTGAATGGGGTGGTAGCTGAGAAGGAAGCGGGATCAAAGGACATTTTTCTGTTTGTGGGGGGTTTTATTTGTTTGGTTTTTAAGATGAGAGATCCTTGGGAATGTTTAAAAGCTGATGGGAAAAAGTCTTGGAGAGAAGCAGAGGGTAACAAGGAGGAGAGAGAAAGGAAAAAGAATTCTTATTCAACAAATACTTGTGGAATTAACTAATTCCTGCAACTTAGTGTTGAACATGTTGAGAATGAAATGAACAAACTGCACATTCCCAGCTAAGATATGCAAAGTCTGAGACCAGAAGGAAATGGCATTTCTTTCCTCCTTGTCATGTGTTCCCTCCTGCCCTTGAGGCCCTCAGGGGAAGGTGACAGACAAGTGAATGAAAGGAGAAAATGGAGGCTTCCTCCACTGTTGAAGATGAAGTCTTTTCCGAGTTGACAGTAGGTTGGAAAGGCACCCTGCAACTTCAGAAAAGTCTAAACTTTCAAGCCTGTGGATTTTTATTTATTTATTTATTTTTATTTATTTATTTATTTTTTTGAGACAGAGTCTCACTCTGTTGCCAGGCACCAGGCTGGAGTGCAGTGGCACAATCTCAGCTCACTGCAACCTCCGCCTCCCAGGTTCAAGCAATTCTCCTGCCTCAGCCTCCCGAGTAGCTGGGATTACAGATGCATGCCACCACGCTCAGCTAATTTTTGTGTTTTTAGTAGAGATGGGGGTTTCACCATGTTGGCCAGGATGGTCTCGATCTCTTGACCTCATGATCCGCCCGCCTCGGCCTCCCAAACTGCTGAGATTACAGGTTTGAGCCACCGTGCCCAGCGGATTTTTATTTTATTTTTAAACTAAAAAAAAATTTTTTTTTTTTTTTGCCCTTACCCTTTTCTTCTTCTTCACCACTTTGAGGCAAAGTATATAATCATTCTCATCCTCACCTTTCAAACAAAGGGTTGAGCCTGGACAGATTTGCTTACATTTTTCAAGCTTTCAAGTATAAAATGGATGACCTCTGTTGATTTTCCTTAACCTGGCAAGCATCCATTTCCCATTTTTTGGTAACGGCACCTTTGGGAAATAACCTCTTTTCCACCCTTAGGTCTTGGGGTTTAGAGTAGGGCAGAGCCCATCTTCACCTCCACTTCGTTGGCAGATAGTGTTTAGGACCCAGCGATTAGCCAATTCAGTGTTGTCTGAGGGATAAGCTATTAAAGGAGGCAAAGCTGAGAAAAGGGGTGTGGGCAGGGATGTATGCATCAGCAAATTTTTATGGCTTGTTTGATCATGCCTGAAGCCAAGGTACCCTTAGACTTTTTAGTTACATGAGCCAAAACATTCCCTTTTGGGCTTAAGCTATTTTGAGTTAAGTTCTATGTCTTGCAGCCAAAAGAGTTCTGTACAGCTGGAAGTGGGATGCTGTGGCGCAGATCCTTAAATGTAAAATTGGCTGAGTTGAGGAATGGTGAACGTAGGAAAGATCCCTCTATGCCAGGCTAAGGAACTGGAAACTCTTGTGATATGGAAGTCAAGAAACTGAGTGAGAGGTCTCAGACCCCAGCATTTCCAGGGTAGAGTCTGAGAGGTCTTGATTGACAAGTGTCAGGGTTTTAGGGAGTTTGGCCAACTTAATAGTTTTTATAAATGTTCCAAAGAAAAAGACATGCTAATGTTGAAACTTGCCTATGTAGTAGTAGAGAGGAATAAATTACAGTGTGATTAAAAGATTCCCTTTCTGCCAGTACCCAGCAAATTCAAATGGTCCGAACTCAGATATATTGAGCCATGCCATGTTGAAAAACTGAAATCCTCTTCCTTTTGCACAGTGACAGCAAAGGCATAAGGTAAAAAACTGATAATAGAAAGACCGTCTCCTGAGTCTACATCAAACTCCTCCTGCTGTGCTGCTCCTGCCAGAGGAAGGGAAGAATTAACCCCATTTTAATTGGGTGACCATATGATTTCTTATCAAAATGGGACAATTCTGAGTGTGAGTATGGGTGCTATTAATAATTACACTGAGATGACAGCCTTAAAACAGGTCACCCTAATTAAAAGAGCTATCCACTAGGACAGCACCTTGCATCAAAAGGCCACTCCATTAGTCCTCCTCATCAAGTCGCCCCTAGGCAGAGGCTAAGAGGGTGGCTGTTAAACTGAAGACTGTTAAAATGAATCAGCTCTAAGGCTTTTCCTTAAAAGACAGAAACTCCCAGGACAGGGTCTGGAGTGTAGACAGACTCCATACCTCTGAAATACAACAGCAGGCAAGGGAGTGGCTAAAACAATTCAGTCCCAAGAAATGGAATCCTCTCCAATTCCCATTACAGTTGTGATCGTGGAAGAAAATACTCAACAGGAATCCTTTCCGAGAGTAGAACTGAAGGAAGCTAAATTGGCCAAAGAACTCAATTCCCTGTGAGGCAGGTAATTCTTGCTATTTCTAATTAGCAGAATGTAATACATCCTGTGATACAGTCTCCATGCGGATTATTTACCCTTTCTTTTGCTTTCCTATAGGAGTTACTCTATTTTCCCCTCTACCATTTTATACTGACTATGTGGGGAGTGATCAGATTTGTAGTTTTGCAAGAGGTTGTCAGAAAGAGAATGAAAAGGTCATGGAGAGGAGAACTTAAAGGTCATGGACTAGGAGCAATCACTTAAAGATCATGGACTAGGAACTAGACACAAAGAAAACAAGACAACGCCTGTAATCCCAGCACTTTGGGAGGCCGAGGTGGGCAGATCACGAGGTCAAGAGATTGAGACCATCCTGGCCCGTCTCTACTAAAAATACAAAAAAATTAGCTGGGCGTGGTGGCACGTGCCTGTAGTCCCAGCTACTCAGGAGGCTGAGGCAGGAGAATTGCTTGAACCCGGGAGGCGGAGGTTGCAGTGAGCCGAGGTCGCGCCACTGCACTCCAGCCTGGCACCTGGTGACAAAGTGAGATTCTGTCTCAAGAAAAAAAAAGAAAGAAAGAAAAACAAAATGAATAAAATGAGTTAGACATGCGAAAATGCATTTACCTTTTGAAATGTGGATGAATGCATTTTCGTGCATATGTAGAATAATTGCATGTTATTAAGTGAGGGCATTTTAAAACTGTGTGGAAGAAGGGAAGCCCAGAGATGGACTTTAGAGTGTGGCTACTGTTTTCTGATGGCTCAGCATTCATTCCCATTTTCTTGTAACAGCACTCTAATTTTCCTTCTGAGGAGCCTCCTTCAACTTTAGTCTTGTCTAGAAGAGGGTCTATCTTCCCCCACCACCACCACTTCA